GTAGTATTAATCTATTGCAAAATTCAAGTCACAAATTAGAATCAATATTAAGAAGCTCTTGATGAACTTGAAACTTATAAGGGTAGAATTTATGAATTTTTAAAATTTTTCGAATGCTAGAAAGAGAAATATTAAGTTTCATTGTAAGTTTATTTGTTGATTGTTGTGGATTCTCTTAAAAAGCATTAATAGTAGCCTCTTGTTTAGCATAATTAGTTGCACTTAATGAACAGCCAGAACAATGATCATCTGCTACATTTCCTGATCTAGTAAATTTATTCACAAGATTTTTAATAGTAATTGGACTAGGTTTAGCTTTATTGGGATATTTTATATGAAAGATGTTAGCAGTTTTTGTAATGAATTTTCTTTAAAATAAATTGTAACAAGTTCTGTACGCTCTTCAATGTTATAACAAGACATAAGTGTATGATAAAAAAAATTATATATTATAATTACTAATTTATATCAATTATTACTAAGCATCAAAGTGATTATTATTGTGATTAAAAAAGGGCATTAAAATGATAATTATCGTGATTAAAAAAAGGTCACTGTTAAAAAAAGTCACTGTCTAGTTACTTTTCACCAACCCAGTATATAATATATATATTTATTATTATGCGAATATTTAAATTATTTACTCATTTTTTTCAATTTTAAAAAAAAAAATAGTTAGATATATTACAATGCTATTTAGATGATCCCAAAACAGTTCCTGATCTCGATCCAAATAATATAAATTATAATTATATTGCCGATGCAATCGGTGATTTTATTTTGGCTGCTATGGGAACAATGACTAATAATGCTATTTGTGCCTTATATAGTAAGTTACATTCTGTTTTCATTATAAGGTACTTGAGTTCTGTTTTAATCATATTTTATTTGAATATTAGATTTGGTAGAAAGGAAACAGCAATATTGGCAAGAATTATATCAAGAGGCTCAAGAAATTAATAAACAGTATAATAGAAATAAACTTACATTTGATAATATTGCTAAGATGGTAAAATTGGATAGTTTTGTTAGAGAATCTTTAAGATTTTCTAAAAGTATAACTGGCTTGTCACACAAATATATTTCTAAATCTTATTATACTGTTAAAGAGTAATAGCCTTCTTAATTTACTCTATAATGACGACACAGCACAGGGAATCCTTTCGTAGGTATATGCGGTGTCCAAGAGGT